CGACGATATGGTTGGACAACATCGCGGCGATCATTCGCCGACAAATAATCGCCTTCGGTAGTACAGTAGGCTACATATGATATACCTTCCATTTCAATGTAAAAGTGAGTAGGCTACATAATTCAAATATGTATGATAAATGCCAGCCAGACATCATAATTCCTTAGGATTACCGTCTCCTTTTATAAGCTCATAGCAAACAAATCAAGAGGAAAATATTGTCCTTCAAATCATCTCCTACTTGTCATCTTAACGACTCAATCGATAAATTTGTCTCGGTTGCTATTTCTACAATAATCCTATTTCATTAACTTTTTAATGATCGCCTGATCACAGACGTGTAATTCCATTTGCCACTCTAATGGACCGAATTTTTGTAAATATTTCTTTATTTTTTTGTTTAGTTACTTTTATTTTTATACGTTTGGACATGGACCCTATATTCCATGGTAAAAAGACACTCCCTCCGCCGCCCTGTAACCACTACTTTATAATACTTTATAACCCATAGTGATGATACATAACCGGTACTTCATAATACACAGTTCTTTCGTTTATGGGGCGTAATGTCCGCTTCTATCGGGGTGATATCGCAGACATAGTATATTCTTCATTGATTTCTATTAATTGTTCCCGAATATGAAGACGAACCATTTGCTAAGATTGTTCAAGTATAGGAAGGGAAATAACTCTCTTTTTACATGGAAACAAGGCAGCCTTAATTTTCCCAGTGACTTCAGTGTTACTGGTCTTGTTAGACGGCTCCAACTTTCCCCAAATTTTTGTTTTTCACTACAGACAGAGCAAGCGAATGAATGGCCGTGTCTTTGCTCCAAGGTTGATCACTGAAATTTTGAGATACACAACTTGAAGTAATAGTAACATGTAAGTATCCGCCGTACCGTAACCAACCTATTAACTCTGTTATCCTTCCGCCTTTAAGCCATGAATAATTAACAAAACCTGGCAGAAAATGTGAACTCAAACCCCTTCTTCGATTCTAGTCCAAAGAATTAACAAAAATTGCCATATACTACAGGCGAGACAGTGGTGAGAGAGAGAGAGAGAGAGAGAGAGAGAGAGTTTCTTAAGGGACAATAACACTCTTGCTGGCTTGAAATCTCCAGAAAATAAATAATATCTCTATCTAAGTACTAGATGTTTAAGTGTCCTACCTGTTGTGTAAATTATCGATTACATCCTATTTTACTTGCCCAGAGGGTTCGAAAATATTTTTAAATCGAAGTTTCATTTGAAAATGTTTACGTTAGACGTTTCAAACCATTATGTTGAATTTTTCAAAATTTTTAAATAAGGTGTGTTAAGATGAAATTTGTATCATCAATTAATTGAAATATTCTAAAATAGTGCAATTTGTTGACCAGAATAAAGATTGGGACATATTATTCAGTTACAACAAGAGTGGTATTGAGCCTTTAAATGGATGAACTAAAGATGGCAAAGTTAATATGGTGGTGCTTATCCATTGGGTTTTGTGATTACCTCCCTTTAATTGATAAATTAAAGAATTAATGTGAATAAACGATCGCCTTTGGTACTTCTAATAAAACAATTTAAGCAATGTTACCCCGTGAAGTCCAATTGCTACTCACGTGCTCTCCTCCCTTCTCTTTTTGTGGACAGCTCGTTTGTGACCGGAAGCAGCCATCCACGACCGCATCAAGTCAAAGCTTACCGGAACCATGGGGTTGTTGTGAGTTTGTCACCTGCATCCAGATATTCTACAATATCATATCACACTTTATTCACCAACTTGTAATCAATAAACTAAAATCCATGTAGAAATTGTCATCTTTGGGTCTAATCATCCTGGACCGAAACTCATAAAAAGTTTAGCATTTTTTTCCGATTACTTTTAAGATGGAACTCAAAAAGGGTATGCAAGATAAGAGAGAGATGGAACGGGGGGGGGGGGTGCTATGGAAATTCCCAGACCCGAATACAACGTACTCGCTGCGCCACCCATGTACGGGCCCCGCTGATGTTGTAATGCTCGAAAAAATTCTCGTTTACAGACGGCGGCGTCGGTCGTCAGCGAGCAACGAAATCTCGGAGCTTACGGTGTACGGCCTTCCAAGAAAGTTTTGAAAACTTGACGGCTGCAAACGCGCTTTCCTGCTATTCCGGCCCGCGAATACAGTAACTTTAATGTGGTCCAATATAGCCTAACTGGATGACCTGGCGCTTGGTACGTTCGGGCATTTTTATGCGCGAACTCTTATTTTTTTTTTTTTACTGGCATGCGCACAGGTACTATTTCTTTTTCTTTTAACAAGTACCCAAATCGGGGATTTCGTGCGGAGGTAGTTCGGAGGTAAACAGTCTGTGAAGTACAACACTTGCCACTGTACCTGTGTATCGCTAATTATAAACCGAATGTGTGAAGCAACACTTGCCACTGTACCTGTGTATCGCTAATTATAAACCGAATGTGTGAAGACAGTTCATACATATCACTCAAAAATTTTTCAGTACAAACTCAGTTGATTCACGCTCGATTTGCTACTAAACAAACCCATCGGTTTATTTTCTCAACAGTGTGACCCGAAGTGACCGCGGATTTATTGACCTTGTATGAACTTATCCATAGCTATATCCTTACACCGAGAGAAATTATCTAGTCTCGGTGAAAAGAACCATGGTCATCTGGTAGAAAATTACTTTTGTATTTTTTGGAACGGAAAACAGTGTTTTTAGAAGCAAACTAACCTGCCGCACATGAGGAAGTCATTATACTAATAATAAAAGGCGAGACCTCTTTTTGCGGCGCAGGCTTATCACTGAGTACTAAACCGTCCACAAACAATAATATAGGAAGCCTAGTGACGAGTGTAGTAACGTAAGTAGGCTATAGACTATAGGTTTGAGTCGAGATTACTCGCTTTCAGTTTACTCTGTTTTTGCGATAACCAATTATGTGAGAAATACCATACTGACATTCGGTTTTCAAAAGTTGTACGCGAACTAAATGCGTTTGTTAGATACTGACAGAGCAGCCCCGAGTCGAACAATCGCCGCCCGAGCTGTCTTCGTCAGCTAGTTTCACAATATCGTGCAATAGGTGTATTAATGTGATTTTTAGGTTTAACCCCGCAAACAATGCCAAAATAGTGTTTTCACTGCTTACAGAAAACTGAAATTTAAAAAAAAATTTTTTTATGAGGGTGACCCTCCCACACACTCCCTATCGAGCTGCCGCTCGGTCTGCGCAGCCTCATGCCTGGCACATACTGTCAACATTGTATATTTTTCCGTTTCCGCCCTTCCACCCCACAATATATATTTCACGGCTACGTTGCGACGGTACCAGCATACCCAGTTGTTGACACCCATTACATCACTCCTGTCTAACAAATCATAAAGCTGTGGTGTTACGGTGGCGGCATAGTATTTCACCGTAACACCACAGCCACTCTAACCATTCATAATACATCTAACTATCAATTTACAGCACTTCACTCCCTACACATTTCCCCTAGTCCTACTTTCCCAAACGTCAACAACACATCTCATACATCCAGTTCGCTGATTAACCCTTGTACCACGTCTACTGGATTTCAAACGACCAAACATCGCCGGCCGTCGTGGCGTATGAAGAACTCGTACTCCCCGAGAAATTTCTGAAAATTTAATCGCCGCAGATGCGTTTTTCTGCTATTCTAGCCCTCGAGTAAAGCGATGATCTATATAAATTCAGTACAAAATCGTGGTATTCAATTAAAAGAAAAGTAGAATTAGTGTTTTATTAGACTTGGGTCACTTTATTTTGCCAACTAGATGATATTTTGCTAAGCAAAGTGGCCCCAGACAAAATGATTTAATTCCTAGTCAATTCAGTACAAATTCACGGTATTCAATAAATAGAAAAGTAAAATTGGTGTTTTATTAGGGTACTTTATTTTCCCCACTTTGACCATCTGCCCGAAAAGTTAGGGAGCAGCTGCCCCTCCCCCTCGCCCCAACTGGTTCGTACACCCATGGCACCACCCTCTCAAGGGCATTAGCACGGTTTTGATAGAAAGTTGGTAAATTACAGTACAGTGTAAAATTATGAAGAAACATGTCCCGACCCGAATTGAAACTGCAATCCAATGTAATTCGATTGAGAGATTATATAAATAAATTATTTGCCATGGACAATGAATGACTGAATGAGATGTGGATTAATCCCCTACTTTTCTGCACCGACCGGGATAATGTCCTACTTTACTGCACCGACAGGGCTAATGAAAGATGGGCATACGCCATGCAGTGTGTTATGAGGAGAATTTTACCCGGACTGCATTTGAATTCCATCTGGCAAAGCTGCTATAACGTGCACGCAAAGGTGTGCACGGGATCTCGCCACCCAAACGACTAGGCGCCTTTTCTGGCCAGGCTATCGGTCCTGCATCACTGAAAAGGGGAAACCAAGCTTGAAAATGACCTGGAACTTTCTTGGCCATCACTGAGATCCTGGTTAATGAGGCTCCTCCTGCAAATGAAAGTCTGATATAATAGTAAAAGAAGAGTTCGATCGTGGTTAGTGACTGCTGGAAGTCATTACTTTTTACCAAGTAGCTTATGCTTTGGAAATCTAAGTCCATACTATTATACATAGTAACGGATGACGTGTACGAGGCAGACCATGCTTACTAGAACAGCTGATATCACTTATCACTGAATTAGATGACATAGCTAAGAATTTTCGTTGTATATTATACTCGTATTGATGTGACGTTATCTATACTATGACGTCAATCAATATACAGGACGTCATTTCTATTGTATATTATGGAAGGGTGTGGTTTGGTCAAGAATAGCTAAACAAAATGACAGAAAGAAGCAATAGCGAGTTGGATATGGACACGGACGAAGTAAATGATGGTGGGGTCATGCAGAAAAAGTTTAGTATGCAAGCATGTAACGTTTTAGCAGAGCTTCGAAGAACAGGCGAGCTCTGCGATGCCGTTATAAGAGTCGACGACCAAACGTTTCCAATACATCGCAATATTATGTCCGCGTGTAGTCCGTATTTTAGAGCCTTATTTACTAATCAGATGTTCGATACCAATAAAAGAGAGGTCATCATTCCAGGGGTATCTCCCGATATTATGAAAGAATTAATTGAATACGCTTATACTCGCGACATTAAGATAGACTCCGAGAACGTAGAACTACTTCTTCCTGCCGCGGACCAGTTCCACATTATTGGCCTAATCAAAGCTTGTTGTGATTTCTTGTGCAATCAACTCGTAGCGGAAAATTGTATCGGTATCCGTAACTTTTCACGAGCTTATTTTTGCCACAGTTTGGAAAGAACAGCTCTGAGATATCTGTTGCAGAACTTCACCACCATTTATCTCGTAAGCAACGAGTTCTTGCAATTAGATGTCGATGAAGTCAGCGAAATTTTGTCCTCGGATGATCTTAATGTGAAAAACGAAGAGTTAGTTTTTGACGCTGTTTTAAGGTGGATTGATTTCGACCCCGAAAGACGAAGATGTCACATGGCGAGAATTTTAAAAACTATCCGACTCGGGTTGCTATCTACCCAGTTCTTTGTCGAAAAGGTTAAATCGCATCCATACGTCAAGGAAAGCGAGGCATGCAAACCCATCGTTATAGAGACCCTCAAGTTCCTGTATGATTTAGATATGGATGACGAAAAAGAAGTTGATCTAAACAACCCGTTGGCTAAGCCGCGGGTTCCACATGAGATACTGTTTGTGATTGGTGGATGGAGCGGCGGGTCACCAACCAATATGATGGAGACATATGATACGCGAGCTGATAGATGGATTGTCTGTGATTCCGTTGATCAAGGTAAGGATGGGAGGGTGAGGGGGTCAGTTCTGCTTAAGGGCAAAATATATGGCCGTCTGCAGAAAAGTATGACGTCAAACTCCATTTCATTTTATTTCGTTGATATGTAATTTGTGGGACAAATGCTATCTTTTATACAGGTCCACGAGCTTATCATGGTACAGTAGCTTTGGATCAGTTAATCTATATTATTGGTGGTTTTGATGGCATGGAATACTTCAACAGTGTTCGGTCATTTAACCCGATAACCAAGAAATGGACGGAAGTTGCGCCAATGAATGCCAAACGGTAAGTACGCCATTTTATTGGATGTGAAGAAACAAAATGCAGAGGCAAAGGGAAGCAATTAGATTTGCTTGGGTTTGTTAAACGTTAGTATTTTTCATTTCTCCCTGGTACCATAGGTATATCTTCCCATTTAATGGAAGAAGTGCGGGTGTTGCAAACGATTATGTTTATCATTTATTGACAGCTGTAATGATAGTGTTGTTTAGCATCTATTGACAGCAGCTGTAATAACAGTGAATTGTTCATCATCTATTTACAGCTGTTATGACAGTATTGTTTGGCATTTATTTACAGCTGCTATGACAATGTTGTTTATCATCTATTTACTGCGGTTATGACAGTGTTGTTAATCATCTATTTACAGATGTTATAACATTGTTGTTCATCATCTATCGCCATTAGATTTCTCATACAAGTACACAGTTGTTTATCGTATATTATAGGTGTTATGTCAGCGTTGCCGTATTAAAGGGGCACATCTACGCTATGGGTGGATTTGACGGCCATGTTCGACAAAACACTGCCGAAAGGTATATGAAAAAGAAGAACCAATGGAGTCTTATTCAACCGATGAACCACCAAAGAAGTGATGCTAGTTCTGCAGGCTTAGAAGGTAAGTCCTATTATATCGTATAAACTGTCTTTCCTGTACAACCATGTGTCTTTTGTCACCTGTACATTCTTTAATAATTAATAAGTTTATAATCCACTCCAAAAAGCTAGATCTTTATTAAATTATTCGCTTACGCGCAAGGGTCTTTACCAGTGAGCGGAGAGCAGGCGACCTTACTCTTTATCACGCACAAGCCTAGGATCGAATGCACAATACTTGAATCAATATCAGAACATATGATCTAAAGACTGAATAAAAAGAAGTATAAAGCATAAATTATATATGTGACCACGTGGGACATGTGGCTCAAGAAATCAAAACACAATAATACATGAATTTTAATTCTGATCTTTAAATTCAAAACACAATAATACATGAATTTAAATTCTGAACTTTAAATTGGTGTGTGTAAGAACACGATTACTGTTTAAGAATGACCCAGATATTTAGCTTACACTATAATAATGTTCAGAATAATGGGATGGAAAATTACTGACATAACCCAAAACGTTTAATTTTATGCATTTCAGAGAAGTTTTTGCCCTTAAACGTTGGGAAAAAAAAAAATTAAAGTCATTTTTGAAGGCAGATAGTTTGCAACGCAAAATCGATATTAAAGAAAGAATGTTTTTCTGTTCGTTTATAGAATGTTTCAACGAATTTTCCTTCTTTTTTCAGGTAAACTCTATATTTGTGGCGGTTTTAATGGCCAAGAGTGTTTGAATTCCGCTGAAGCTTATGATCCAGAAACCAATCAATGGACTCTTCTGACACCAATGAGAAATCGCAGAAGTGGTGTTGGTGTTATTTCTTATCGCGGATGTATCTATGCGTTAGGTGGATTCAATGGCATCACGAGGATGAATACTGGAGAAAGATTAAGCCCATCTACCAATACGTGGCAGACAATCCCAGAAATGTACAATCCCAGAAGCAACTTTGCTATCGAGGTGAGAAATTGACACAATTACTTGCACAGATGGAATAATCTAACTTATATTATAGCTTTATCCATTTTCGTTCCTATGCTTCTGAGTGTCGATATTATACGATCTACTATACTATTCAAAAAAAGTAGGGGATATTTGATTTTGGGGGCATAATACTAAAATATGCAAATGACTACGAAAAAAGTCACTATAGAACCTAACAGAAGAAACATTTCCAGTTACATGTGACGCCCAAACGCACCAATAGCTACCGCATGGAATGCAGGTGATGCTTGGGATCATCATGGGGGTCCAACCCAAGATTTGCACGACTCTGACTTTGAATGTTACAGTCATTGTGGCATTGAATTCCAGGGTGGAAACATCAGTTTAATTGTTTTAGTGACCAGAAAACAAATTTTGATATGCGTCGGCTTACCCAAAATGAAAGGTTACGTGCCCTTGGCATGCTACAGATCGGCACAACACAGGCGGTTGTGGCGCGGACGATGAATGTTTCTCAGTCTGTCATAAGCAGGCTATGGTCCAGATACCGTGATACACAATCTGTACAGGACAGACCACGCTCAGGTCGACCAAGGGCGACAACTCAAGCCCAGGATCGATTTATCCGTTCCTTGGCCTTGAGAAATCGTGTCATCACAGCAAATCAGATCAGCGCTCGTCTTCAAACAGACACTGGTGTGAGAGTGAGTGGCCAGACGATTCGGAATCGACTGCATAGGGGTCACCTTCGCGCCCGACGTCCTCGCGTGATCCCTTGTTTGAGAGATCATCACATTCAGGCAAGACGTCGTTGGTGTAGGGATCGTCAACACTGGGATAATCGACGCTGGAGCAATGTGATGTTTTTAGATGAGTCAAGGTTCACTGTTGATTTTTTGGACAGACGTAGGAGGGTGTGGCGTCGTCGAAACGAGCGCTTCCAAGACGTTAACGTCATCAGACATGATCGATTTGGGGGTGGTTCTGTTATGGTGTGGGGAGGCATCACTGTTGCTGGAAGAACGGCTTTACATGTTGTTGCAGGGCGTGTTACAGGCCAGTACTACCGGGACAACATCTTGGCAGTCCATGTTGTGCCGTTCGCACGACGTCATGGCCGCCGTTTCATCTTCCAGGATGACAACGCAAGATGTCACAGGGCCAGGATCGTTACAGGTTACCTCCAACAACAGAACATCACCACATTACCTTGGCCAGCACTGAGTCCCGACCTCTCCACCATCGAGCATGTCTGGGACATGCTTGGACAGAGGTTACGTCAACGTCAACAACGTCCTGCCAATGTCCAAGAACTTGCTGCTGCGTTGCAACAGGAATGGGACAATCTGGACCAAAATGACCTTAGACGTCTCATTAGGAGTATGCCACGTCGGATCAATGCTTGTTTGGCAAACAGAGGAGGATTTACCCGTTACTGACTTGGTTGTGATGCTGTGGTAACTTTGCTGTTTGACCCCGGGTATCATTTTACCCTTATAATGGTCAGTCTGTGCCTTACTTAGTCTAACGATCATTTGGAATAAATCGATGAATGTGAACTTCATTTCATTTTGTCATTTGTTTCTTCGTCAGTTTCATTAGGTGACTTTAATAACACTTAAAAATCAAATATCCCCTACTTTTTTTGAATAGTATATTTAAACCTACACAAGAAAGTACCCACCGTTTCATGGGGACAGCTACGTTATTATTATAACGGATAAATGATCATTTTAGCTTGGTGTGGTTTTAACATATTCTAAATTACACCTTTTAAATATAATATACATTTAAGTGAGTTATATTGCTCAAAGGTGCGTATCCCGTTATACGCCATGTTCAGATTGGTTGACAATTTTTATACCAGAATCTTTTATTAAAGATACATTATGGGAGATTCGATAACGAGTTGGCAGTTCTCACTATGATAGTTAAAAACTAGATAATGTAAAGGGAATTTGCTGAAAATTTCATTCAAATTGATCCACTATGAACCGAGAACTAAGCAATTGAAATTTCAGCCTAGCCTCCATCATCATTACTAAAGTCAGTACTATAAACAGCATAGTCTCGATTATCCATTTAATCGTTAAATCGTGAAGGAAAGTTATGCAGTAAATCGGCTCATAATCCACTAAAGATCGCAGGCTAGCGATGCCATCTAGAGTTGATTATAGTCTGGATAGGTTAATTAATGTCTAATTAATAATTTAGATAACATTTCGGGCATGAAGAAAGACCTGCAATACACAGATTTAGATCTTGCATAATGTATGTTTAAATAAAAGCACTTCTGATTATGTATGTCTAAAACTTAAGTAAAGAGAATGAACGGATACATTTCTAATAATCTCCCAATATAAAAATTTAATCCCATGGAATTTTCTTTGAACATCCCTAATTGAAAAAAACTCGCCAGACCAACCCAACTCCCCTTTTTTTTTTACCTAAATTATTAGAACGTGTGGGCTAGACAAAATACTGACGTTAAGATTGATCCTTTTATATTTCTTTTTTTTTAAATAAAAAATTGCAAATTACAGGAAAATAACAATCGAAACAACGGTACAAAATCCCATTAACAAAGAATTATAGAAGAAGAAATGAGACACAAAGCTCCTCAATCGATCTGAAATAGCATTGAAATATAAAAACAAAACGTTAATTTCGCAAAGAAGATGAAAATGTAAATGGATTAAATATGGCACAAAGAAAAAAAGACGGGATTCAGCTCAACTTAAATCTGTATTATTCGCAGAGTAATGATATCGCTGTTGTAATGGGAATTGTAAGCTTAACGTTGGAAAACATTCTGTTTAAGTAGAAGCTTTTATAGCACAATTTTTTGTGTAAGAAAACATAAGGCAAGCAGAAACGATTACTTGCTCCTCAATAGACTATACTTAATACAGTTTCATATATTAACGACATCAAAAATTAGTTCAGAAAGCACCGTGTAAATTCCACGTTTCTTTTCCGAAGGAACTTCCACTTTTCTATTCCGAGCTTTTTTATTTCTTTTCTGTTCTTCAGTCATCTGCTGCATATCATTATCAACAAGCCCCAAACACGAATAGGGATGTACAGAAATTGAAACATACAAATCTGATATTTGTTATTGGTGTGCTTTATATCCGTAACAGTTTATATATGATAAGATATATGTTATTGGTATGTCTTATATCAGTAACAGTTTATAATGATAAGATAATTGGTTTTGATGAGTTTACTATCTGTTTCAGGGGTATAAAGGGTATGATGCTGGATTGATGCGTTAAAAGATGTTATCATATTTGTTATTACAGGTTTAATATCTTTTTCAGTTTAAAAATAGTATGATATTTATTATTACAGGTTAAATGTTTGTTTCTGTGTTTATAAGTAGTATGATATTTGTTATTGATAGGTTTCGTGTCTGTTTCTGTGTATAAATGGTATGATATTTGTTATTGATATGTTTTTAAATTGTCTATTTCTGTGTATAAATGGTATGCCATATGTCATTAATTGGTTATCTATCTGTTTCAGTTTATAATTGGCATCATATTTGTTTTTCAATGGTTTAGTATCCGTTTCAGTATGATATTTGTTATTATAGGTTTCCGTTTCAGGTATATATCCTATGCAATTTGTTATTGATGAAAATGTTATTTTTTTTATTGGTTGGTTCATAAATGATTTGTTATTTGTGTAATAATTATCTGTATCAGGTTATAGATGATATGGTATTTGCTATTGGCGGATTTAATGGAGTTACAACCATATTTAATGTGGAGTGTTACGATTCTACATCCGATGAATGGTTTGTACATTTTCACATTTTACGGAAATTATTATACATGTAATTGTATATAAAAATTTATTTACTATAACTTTCATTTTATGTCGCAACTCATCCCAGATTCGTACGGAACAAGGAGTGGATTAGCATGATACTTCGTGGGTTTTATCTGGGTACTCAGGCTTGCTCCGACCTCTAAACACCCTTTTATACATGCCAATTTTTGAAATAAAAGTATGCCTAGTTCCGAAATGACCGGACGAATGTCAACTGGACCCCCCCCCCCTCCTCTCTCTCTCTACACTACATATGATGTTACACAATGTTAATTACCTTGCATAGTAGTCTATCATTGTTGGCTCGATAGACAACCCTTCAACTCTCGGAATATTGTAGGAAAATCAATGAGTTATGTGCTAATCACTACTCTACTGTATAGAATTTTGATCAAATTTTGTACACTTGTGAGTGCATAAGTAATTTGAGTTGTCTGGGTTATTACAGTCGGGGGCCACGGTGACTAAGTAAGTAAGACGCTGGCATGCTAGCCTGGAGGTCGCGGGTTCGATACTGGTGTTGGCCAGCGCGATTTCTCCTTGTCAGTGGTGCAGGACAGAGGGCCTGGCAAGGACAGCTGTCTAGTCGTTCGGGTGGAACGAAAGACCGAGGTCCCGTTGCACGCAAAGGATTCTTTGGCAGTTAGGATTCGACATAAGAGTAGGCCGCAGCGCTGCTGTCCGGGCAAAATCTTCCTCGTAGCACACTGCGTGGCTTATGTCCGTCTTTGTTTTAGCCCAATCGGAGCAGAACAGTAGTGTGTTAATCCCCATTCCATTTCATGTCATTTCGTTATTACAGTCGGTCATCTATGATATTTGAATCCTGTACTGTAAATACCCTGTATTGTAAGAATTCCTCCACTTAGAGATCTTTGGAGCAGGGAACTTAGTATCAGACACACAGATATGGCCCATAGATAAACGATAAAGGTCGTGTCGAACCGTAATTAAAATCTAACCATCTTTACTTTCAGGTATGATGCCACTGATATGAATCTGTATAGAAGTGCTCTTAGCGCATGCGTCGTTAGAGGTTTACCAAACGTTGAACAATATATACGTCAAAAAGATCAAGAAAAATCAGAGGACCAGAAAAAGAAAAAAGCCACCACTGCTAAAGCATAAAACGCCGAACACACCGCTAGAATGTAAAAAATAAAACAGAATAATAAAAAAAAAAAATGAAAACTGTAATAATAAAAATAACGGTAAAATATAATGGCAGACAAAAGTGTAGGCAAAAATATTCATTTTTTTATTTTCCTGACATTTTCATTGTAAACTTAATAGATATATTTATTTTAATCCATTTTAAAGAAAATGAAAATTATTGGATGAATATTAGAATAATAAATGCATGTTCTATATAATACAATTTTAATATAAATTATTAACTTCGTTCTTTTAAAACAAATTTTGTAGTAATTGCAATGTATCATTATTGAATTCTCTTGCTATAGCCTATATTTTTATGTTCTTAGTAAATGTGCAATAGATATGATAAATGGACATTTTATTTCCCCCGTTATCCATACCATTGCTAAAAGATCATATCCATATTCACTCCTCTGCAAATTGGGAGACTTGTATCCAATCGCAAGACCACATCTCTACCTTACATTGAGTGTGCTGCATTATCTACTACACTTTGATTGGGCAGTTTGATGTAGGAAAATAAAAATAGAGATGAAATGGCCGCTTTTAAAAACAGCTATGTCCAGTTTTATTTTATGGTTTACAGATCTATGTTTAATATGGCGATATTTCCCGTCTTTTTACTTGGTTATCCTGTGTGAAAAAACCCTTGAAACGTTTACAGACGATATCCGTCACAACTGCTACACAGTGGTTGATATTAGTACTATCAGTGCAACTTAACTTATTCTTTTGAAATACCTACCTGTTTATCGAAGATACGAAAAGCGTAGATTTAAGACCAACACGATGAATTGTGCTACGAGGTTTTAATTTCACACCCCATATTCATAATATCGGATTCAGACTAATAAGTCAACGTTAATTCCATACCATTCCCTGGCCTACAACGCTCTGTTTTGACAATTCTGGAATCTTAGTCTTTATGATCACAAAGATGTCAGAAGCCCCCCCCCCCCCCTCCTGTGAAAAAATTGTCGACCATAAAAAAAAACTTAGATATACGGTGCCCGACAATTTTACAGCACCCCTGAGAACACTTCCCGCCGTCTCGTTGCTCTGGGCTAGTTACGGCATTGCAGTTACCATATACACACAATGGATGCTATTTTGGCCAGTCCAATATTCGTTATAATCAGAGACCGTTTAAGCTGGAGCAATCGATACTATCTATTTTGCCACACAATTTCACATGAAAGATAAAATGTACTGTCGCTAGCTACACCATCTTACAACAATTTCAACATAATAATCTGGTAGGATCACCAAAATAATTATATATCGACGTGTGACAAGGTGTAAGGAAAGTATGGACTTACAGTTTGAGTGACCGAAACAATTGGTGATAAAATTATTAGATTAGATTAATCTCGATTATCTATTTTTGGATTTAATCATCAATGAGCGTTGAGCAGCAGATCGGATTCAAATCCAGTGAAAATCCGACACATAAGATGGCATCGAGAGTTGATTAAAGTCTTTTCATGTTAATAATGTCTAATTAATAGTTTACATAACATTTCAGGCCTAAAGAAAGAACTGCAATAGACAGATTTAGCTCTTGCGTAATGTATGTTTAACATGTATTTTCGGACATGACCAAGGACTAGAAATTGAAAATCACCCAAACATACATTGGTGTCACTCCACTTTAAATTTATGACAAATGTGGGCGTTTGTTTTGTTGACTGCTAAACAATTTATTACATGGGGGCATCAAATTATGTCTACTACAAGCTGAAAACACTAGAACATTTGACGTCTGTTTTTACCCGAAGTCTCATAATACATGTACTTTCTCCACTTTAAATAAACGTAATTGTCACGTAGCTATTTTCTAGAATAGCCCAATCACATTAGGCAGATTACTGAACATGCCCTATAAAGAAATGTCCTTGATCCTTAGAGGAAGATGAAGTGGAATAAAATAAACACTACAAATGAACTGCTGTGGATTCGAATCAGATTCTTTCCAGATCCAGAATCTATTCTATTTGCTTCCGTAACAAAATAGAGCATGGCCGTCTTCCGTAAAATCGAGTTAGGATTTGTAAAACTGTTTGTTTGAAACATGAATCTGGAACAGTATTTGGATTCTTGACAATCAAACACGCATTATAACTTATATGAAAGATTTAGATCTGACTGTACAGTCCAGTAGCGGAAAATTTAACTGCTGCAAATTCATATCAAGATTCATGGAATCTGTTGTGATTGTCAAACGAACGCCAATTTACAACCACTGGATAAATATAGCAGCTGAGAGAGAGAGAACCACTGGATAAATATAGCAGCTGAGAGGGGGGGGGGTAACATCCACTTGACACTCGGAGAAAACCCACGAGGTTGGACAGGCGACCCTACTCCTTGTCACGTACAACCGCCGAATCGAAACCAACCAGTTGACTCAATGACAACAGATCTTATGATACAACGCGCACGTACTAATCATTTGGCTACCTAACCTCTCCCTCCCCCAAAATATAGCAGCTAAAGTTATACTGCTGGACCCGCGGCATATGCTTGCAAGCTATCTATTCCGATTCAGTGATTCCGCACTTACGGTAGTAGAAATGAAATGTCCTACTGTTCTGCTGCGACTGGTCTAATGAAGACGAGCATACGCCATACTGTGTGCCATGACGGAAATGGTGCCCGGACAGCGCTACGGCCTACTCTTATATCGAATTCCAACTGCCAAGAGATTTTTTACGTTCACCCCAATGTGTACATGGGACCTCGATTTTTTGTCTCATCGGAACGACTGGACAGCTGTTCTTATAAGGCCCTCCGCCTTGCACCACTAACAAGGGGAAGCTACCCCGGAAAATCCCGGGGAACATTCTACGCCAACACCGGGATCGAATCTGCGACCTCCAGCAGTCCAGACTAGCGAGTCAGCGTCTTCTTACTTCACTTCACCACCGTGGCTCCCTACTATAGTAGAATACAACCCTCGACTTTTATGAACCACTGGAACATTTACAGTAACCCAATTAGCACCTTCAGTCTGGAGTATTATAACACAGTAATTAATTGGAATGTGATATCTATTTGATAGCCTACATTTATCACCCAATAATACATCAGTAGATATCGCTTGTGTGATATATTTCATAATCTACTGCAATATCTCCTTAGGAGATATCGCTTTACATGAATTTGATTGGTCAGTTGAAAAGGAACTACTTTTTTTTATTTTCAAAGAACAGTTCATTTCTTATTTAAAGTAACTTTTTTTTAATTAAAAATGAACTATTGTTATTCAATTGACCTTGATGGAAACACTGGGTCAATATAAAGGACTTTGCAATGGTTGAATTGTCAAAAAATGATGTATCACTACGCCATAATGTTCAGTAAAAGTTAAATCTACAGCAAAGAATTATATTTATCTATTTGTGCATGTAAGATGGGATTGAGTGATTAATAAAATCTCCTACTCGTCTTTTTGATATAAAAAAATATCAACACTCGTTGATAAAGTAAAAAAAACCTCGACAGAGCCTCGTTTTTTGTTAGTTTATCAACTTGTGTTGAAATTTTTTTATATCAAAAAAGACTGGTAGGAGATTCTCTATATACGATGTATAAATACGAAAGAATGTGTAATTGAAGCCATACCCGCTGCACAAAGATGGACACTGAACATAGAACGCGCCTGTGCTAATCATAAAAACACGCATCACACCCTCTTCCATATTTATGTCATTTCGGGACTAACATATGATTTAATTTTATTTCAATAATTCGCTTGCGCGTAGGGTTCTTTAGCACTGGGAGGAAACCGGAGGACCCGGAGAAAACCCACGAGGCTGGACAGGCGACCCTACTCCTTGTCACGTACAACAGGGGAATCGAAACCCCGCCAGTTGACTCAATGACAGACCGTATATATGATACAGCGCGCACGTGCTAACCATTCGGCCATCCAACCCCCCTTGTGCAGGACGGAGGACGGGGCAAGGGACAGAGTCTGTTATTGGGATGAAAATCCGAGGTCCCGTACAAGTAAACGAACCCTTGACAGTTGGAATTTAATTGCTATCCGGGCAAAATATCCCTCAAAGCACACTGCATGGCGTTTTCCCGTTTTCATTATCCCGGTAGGTGCACAAAGGTAGGATGTTAAACCCTATTTCATTTCTGACATCGATTTCTATAATCCGTATAGAGCTAATTTAACAGGGGAAAACAGCTATATGTCTGTTCATATTATATCTGTTTCTTCACACCCACCATTTCTTAGCATCAATAATCCATTATTAGATTACACAATCTATCGCTTCACCAACTTCTAGCTCGCTAAAACATCGCCCTTTTTCTCGTGCAATGGATTTGTCTTGATTTTCTGTAGTATCGTTATTTACGGTGTTCCACCATTGTATAAATTACTTGACGTCTTTTTTTAGTAATTGTCTTTGGCAATCCTTCCATTCATTTATATTTTTCGGAATAGAATTTAAGTAGGAGAAAGATTGGGTTGTATTATCAGCTTTAATTAAGTTCACAAATTTGCTTTGTACCTTTGTTTAGTTTAAAATGGCTAGATCTCTTTAAATTAGGTCGAAAATAAAATTGTTCATTGCATTGGATTTAATAAGTTGGTTTGTTTTGTAGGATGACAGGGGTTTGGATGGCCGAATGGTTAGCACGTGCGCGCTGTATCATAAGGTCTGTAATTGAGTCAACTAGCGTGGTTTCTATTCCCCAGTTGTACGTGACAAGGAGTGGGGTCGTCTGCCCAACCTCGTGGGTTTTCTCCGGGTCCTCCGGTTTCTTCCCACTACTAAAGACCCCTACGCGCAAGCGAATGATTGAAATAAAATTAAACCATGCGTTAGTCCCAAAATGACCTAGTTTGTGTCGAGTATCTGTCTGTCTGTCTGTCTCTCTCTCTCTCTCTCTCTGTAGGATGACATCTCTATTTCTTGAAAATATTACGTCTGTAGATAAAACCATTGCTGAAAGATAACCCATGATGTGTTCCACTGCCGACATAGAGAGCTTCTGTAATAGATATAACACACCAAAGTCAAGGATTGATTTTAACCTAAATCTAAGAGTCTTGAGTCTAAATCAAGATTAGAATTAGCACACCGAAACCGATATTTTTCCATCAATCCTTACAATGGAATATAGAGGTACTGTGCATGTATTGGTAGCACACGTAGAAGATCTTTTGTGAATGATCTTTTATTTGCTACCCTGGAGCATATCCTAGCATTAGACCAGACACTAAAATACTCGAGCAGAAAAAGTGTTAAAACATGATAGCCGTCTGTTCGCATGATTGAAATAACATCTAGCCTTTTCCTGACAGATTTGTATCAAAGACTCCGTCCAGGGTATAATCAATAATGACATAGACACCATTGCGCAGGTTTAATGGTGATTTATTACTAATGGCCGCTTAAAATACATTGCACCTTTAACACATGCGTATTTTTGTGCATTGATTTCTTATTCTGACTTTTAAGATAAAACCTTTGCATTTGATGAAACGAAAGCCACCCAGAATATCGACACCAAACATTGGCAATCTATCCATGAATATTGAACAAAATACTTTTTGAAATGCCAAAGTTTATGCAATTGCGCTGCAAGCTGAAGAGAAATGATGTGTAAATTATTCGATTATATTAAACAGCAATTACATTTTTTGCCCATAAATAACTGTTCTCCATAACCGCTAGAAGGGATTTTTCGATTCAATTTCTTCATATGTTATTTAGGAGTTGATTATTCATTTCATTCGAATAAACTTGCTCTGTCGTAAAAAGGTTTTCAGATGTAATGAAATGAAATGGTGTTTAACGTCCTAATTTACTGCTCCGACTGGTCTATTGAAGACGGTGATACGCCATACAGTGTGCTATGAGGGAAGTTTTGCCTGGCCGATGAGCTTGCTCGGCCAACACCTGGATCGAAAACGGAACCCCAAGGTTAGCAAGGCAACGTCTTATTCACTCACTGAGCCACCCCGGCGGCGGCCAACAAACCAAAAAATAAATAAAAATGTTTTCCGTCAAACCTGATAGGTATGTTATTATTTCGATGCTTGACAGACATAACTTACGCGCTGGAAAAAAATATATTTTTACATGTCCTAAATCAGCCACCATACAACCGACCACTACTCACTCTTGTTTTGTTATTGTCAACCATCGTCTTGGATGTGAGTAGTTTTAGTTTATTGTTTGGCAACTAAGCAACTGGTCAACTGTCATTTCAGTTTGAATTTAGCCGGCTAAGAGAAGAGGTCGATTATTCTGGTTAGCTCGGTGATTGTACCCTTCCTGCAAGTCAAATAGGTATGTAAACAAGTGTATTTTAGTCTTTGGGCAAAGTTAAAAGTGGTCATAGCGCTCCAGAGGGTTTTGCTTGTTGCTATACAAAATAATTTTTGATTCGACCACGCAGATGCAACGAATGTTTTCAAATTAGAAGTTATGCAAACCTCGAGAAAAACCAAGCCATTATTGTAATAAAGACTATATTGTGACGTGCAATTTGCGAATCGTACACATTTGTAATGGTTTTCAAACCATTACAAACCTTTGTGAAAAATATCTTAGTGTTTTGATTTTTGATTTTATCATAAATATTTAAACATTTATTTCTTTGGGTAACGCGATTACGCCTCTTTCATGTATCGCCACGCCGCTTGAATCAATGACAGACCTTTCGAGTATAAATATGGGTCAACTATTTCGCCGCCTAAATCTGGATTATTTTCTGAAGACGTTCTTAGATCTAGTGAATTTGAGGGGCGTGTCTTTAACACGCGGATTCGCACAGGTGCCCCTTTTTCCTGTCTGGTACATTCGTGCGGTACAGAATTCACGAATCTGCATGGATAATAGGCCATGCGCGACCCACCCACCATCAAATTCTGCGTATCCACAATTTCAGAATAACTACCGACCCCCCTAACTTAGAAACAGGCAATGCTTATCTCCTAAATGAATGTTACAATATAGCACTTCCTTTTGTAATCTGTAAAAATTTGTGTTTTAATCATATTTCTTTTTTTCCCTCTACAGACATATCTATCGACAGCATCTGGTCAAATGGACGAATTGTGGCGGCTGTTTCAAGGTAAGTCTCATCAGTTATTGTAAATTCGAGAACGTCACTTCCTGGAGAAAAATAGTACTGAGCGTCTACTACGACTACGCCATAATCTACAATGAAAATAATGGGGCTTGGTTTACCAATCTAATACACTTTTTTTCTAATCAAAACAAACTTACAAAAAATTCGGCTCTATGTTAACAAAGAAAATGTAATTAATTGTGCACTATAGTGCTTCTTTAATTGGCTCTTGTTTGTTACAGTTTATCTAATGGAAGCAAGAAGTATCATAATACACGTTATATTATTTATCTTACTCTAGGCTTTTATCATGATATTCCCAGGGTCGATCATTTATTATCCAGTTTGTACAGTAATTTATTTTCTAAATATCCTGTATATACGATACTTCTGATATACATGATATTTGCTTAAGTAGATCTAAGTTTTACAAGTATGACATCAACACTCTGGGCCCATCTCTTTTATTAACACCATATTAACCTACCTGTCTTTACCTCTCTGTTAGGGATAAGATGTCATATTCAGTAATTCTGATCTTCTTTTTGATTTCGTTTGACGTAATCTTAACTTATATTCCTAATTTCTCTTGAGGGCCTAGTAAGATAATCGGGTGGACGCAATATAACGTGTTTCTATGGTAAGCTTAGATGTATAGGTGATAGATGATTGTACAGAATATACAAATACAGGTTAGTTAACTAATATTATTGACAACATATAATACGTGCTATCTGTTTTCTTTTCCAAATATATATCGACCCTTTTTCACCAACGCCTATTAAAGTCTTTAAGTCTACTGTCCGAGAAATAGTCCGCTTCCGTCACTACCCCGACAGAACCCCCCGGCCACAACATGTTATTCTTCCCTCGCTACCCCCAACCACACAGTTGCTACCCTGACAATCCCCCGACCACACGTTTTACTTCAGTTGCTACCCTGACAAAATTCCCCGACCACACAGTTGCTACCCCGACAGAATCCCCCGACCACACGTTTTACTTCAGTTGCTACCCGAACAGAATCAACCAACCACACATTGATCATTTTCCCTAATCCTGGTTTTCGAGACACAGAATGAAGAGTTCAGAGTCGACAGAGTTGAAAATCACTAGCTACTTTGGCAAAGACACTGTCCGAATACACACAACACACAAACATATCAAAATACGTCTTAGACATTTTTAACACGACCATTCATTTTATATTTTTATTCCAGGACCAGGGCAGGTAGATATGTTTAAAAGGGATGGACAATGGAGATGGCAGTTGATGGTTAAAACAGCATTGACAGGGGTAAGTAGTCCAGAGAATGTTTACGTTTTGTTTATGTATGTATTTAACCATAGAAAAAATAAAAATGATAGTTAACATGAAACATTGAACCTGACGAAATGTTACTCAGTACTCGTCACATTTTCTAAATGGTCGAGCCATCAATTGTATCCAAATAGTTTTCATATATCTTGAAGGACTAATTTGCAGTAATATTTGTTTGTCGTCGGGTAGTGATAAATAGTTTGTGAGATATAACATTTCGGTTTCTAAAACTAGAACACAAAAAATATCTTCAAATCTATTTTTTTTTTTTTTAAATTACAAATCGTTTACAAGGGTCTTAACGGGCTAATCCCGATAATTTTTGGGAGAATAAAACTGTGTAATTTTGTTTTAAAATCCCTTAAAATCCTCTACCTAAGGGCCGAGCAACTAACTCAATATTTGTGATAAGTTTTCAAATAACTGAAACCCGTCAGGCTTCATCTGGAAATGGAGACTGGTGTCCCAAGTTGTATTATACGGTGTCTAGATAAAACCAGACATTTTTTGTATAAAAATAATGTGTAGGTGACATTTGCCTTTCGTTATCAAGTACAGCATTTGGTTCATTCACTGTATAGAGTTCTAAAGGAACGGGAATCGATTATGAGGTCTCCAAACGAAACAATAGACCCGAAATCTTAAAAGGGTTACGTGTCCGGATAAGCAGTTTTGACGGTCACGTCCAAACGACTCAAAATTTTGAGCTGAAATTTTGAGATACGGTCAATACACCATTCCTCTATATTTTGGATCTTAAATTTCATGCATACTCAGACTTCTATTTTTGATACTCTGTTCAAATAAGGGATAGTCCCTTTAAGATATGTAGACCCTAACTTTAAAAGATAAACAAAAGTAAAATGATTATAAAATCTAGTTACATTTATTATTATAAAAGAAAACCAACAAATTTGACCCAAGTGTTCCTTTACGTTTGAGATAAAGCTTGGTAAAACACCAACAAACCTTGGTATGAAATATGAAATAAAATTAAAATGAAATTGGGGTAAAACCGACTGGGATAATGAAGACGATAAGGAATACAGTCACTTATTAAGCTAGTTGAGTATCACACACATATAAAGTGGGTGATATTATGTGATTTTGATTATAAATTTTTCTGGGAGTTGGAACTACATTATAATTGCCAGCAAAATACCCTAAGGTGTGGAAGCGTGCATGCTTAAGCTATAATAGTTTGTCCGAATTTATCGACAAATATTGACTGAAAATTGTTTCCAGATAAAGATAGTTTTGCCCGATACCAGTTTGATTCGAAAAAGTAGGACGCTAAACACCATTTCTTTTTATTTGGCCCAAGATCTCATCTTCGGAAAGGCACCTTCCCTCTCTCCGTCAGAATATGCTTATGGTTATATCAAAAAGTGTTCCCCACACACACACAAACGGCGATAGTATATGCATTTATTGATTTGTTGGTTTTAATATAAAGATTGCGTGGTCAGACACCATTTAGCATGAGCATGTTGCATAGGTTGTACTTCATTTTGCCTTAGTGTTCATTTCAGCGGTACTTAAAGACACAATCAATGCGTGATATCCAAACAGGATTGATTGATCTCCCAGAATTTTGACTAAAGAATGCAGGAATGTTCAAATAGGATAGGACATATGTTGTCCAAAAAAGAGGGAAAATTTAAAACATTTTTCGTTGCTTGTCTCAAAGTAATTTAACCAAATCTGTTAGGATGTTTTTGATTGGTACTTGTGTGAAAATTTGCTGTCAAAGAAAGTTGCTCTTGTCAAAGAAGCTTTAAATATTTAAAACTCCTGAAATAGATACATTATTAGATTGGGGTGTGATATTATTATGTATTACACAATATAATGTGTTACTGAGACGCTTTTCTGAGCGGACGGTAAAGCTGTATGTATATAGGCGTTTTTTGCCGTGACATTATTGTACTATAGATGATGTGAAGTTACCATATATTTATCGGATAAACTGTGTTGACCAGACATTTATTAGTGGATTTAATGAAACTTTGCAACATTTTATTGTTAACAAAATCTTTACAGGTGTGTACTGAAGGATTGATGGAGACTAAGACAGTTTTGCAGATCAACGACTTTTCATGGTCCTTCAACATGGATAAGGTAGCGGCGGAGGATGTACACCAGATAGACTGTGGTATGTTCGGTAGATTTGACTCAAAAAGAGAGTACAGCTTTTATAATTGATTTTACTTGAGGGTGGTCGCGGATTGCATCACAGCGGCTCTTAATTTGAGGTTCAGCTGAACAGTCTAATTCAGATCAATTTAGTTCAGTGGCGATTATGTTAATTTCGCTTCCATTCAAGATATTTTGTCACTGCACATGTATTAATTGCCTTCCCCCCTTAAGTTTGTTTGTTCAGGCCTGGAGATCTTGCGTTCGATCCCTGCATTGGCCGAGAAAGTTCATCTAGATTTTCCGGCGTGGTTTCCCCCTTGCCAGTGATGCAGGACGGAGGGCCTGACAAGGACAGTTGTCTAGTCGTTCGGATGGGACGAAAAACCGAGGTCCCGTGTACATGTTGGCGTGCACGTAAAAGATCCCTTGGCAGTTGGAATTCTATATAAAAGTGGGCCGTAGCGCCGCTACCCGGCAAAATGTCCCGTATAACATATTGTATGGCGTATGCCCGTCTTCATTAGCCCAGTTTAGGAGCAGAACAGTAATACGTTAAACCCCATTTCGTTTGTTTTTTCAGTACTAAGCCTGGTGGCCGTACAGAATGGTGGATACAGATTGGTGGAAACAGATTGATGAATGCAGACATTTCAGCGGTGGAGGAGGTACCTACAGAGTGGTAGATGCAAGCATTGCAGTGGCGGTGAAGGAGTTTCAAGAGATTAGTGATGGGTGCGATTTTCAATGGTGAGTACATCATTTATGACTGTTCGGTTTATTCTGACGACCCCTTTAAGAGACAAAACCCATTTTTCTTTTCTTTTAACGGCCTTCAAGATTTATAGGAAGAACTGATATGTTAGTTGGTGTCTTATTCTAGATTCTCCAAATAAAATTGACCAGCCTATTTTGAGCCTCGCAAAGGGTAGATATCTACGTTTGTTACTTCTACGCATATTTGGCGTGAGCATGTTGCAGGGGTGTGCTTCTTTGTATCGTCAAATAATCGAAGCATGTTTGATTTGTCCTCCAGAATCATTTGGTAGTAACACTATGTGATTGCTATTTATCATCCAAATTTGCTGAAATAAATTTGATCTTGCCATTAATTTAGCTTTCATGGAAAATATTGTCATTGAACATGTACTACAATGTAATTGCTTTTCAGCACCTAGCCTGGTGGAGTTACATATTGATAACTGCCGATTGATAGACACAGAATAGATGATGCAGAATGGCGGACACAGATGGATGGATGCAGGCAAGGCAGCGGTGGAGGATGTGCACAAGGTTTGTGATGGTCTATGTGAACTATTTTGATCAAACGGAGAGCACAGTTTTTATGAATGATTTACTTGAGGGTGGATCAGCTGAACAGTCCAGTTCAATTTAGTTCAGTGGGGATTAAGTTATATCGCTTCCATTCAAGATATTTTGTCATTGCACATGTACTAATTGCCTTCCCCCCTTAAGTTTCTTTTTTCAGGCCTGGAGGTCGGGCGTTCGATCCCTGCATTAGCCGAGAATGTTCATCTTGGCAGTTGGAATTCGATATAAGAGTAGGCCATAGCGGCGCTGCCCAGGCGAAATTTCCCTTATAACACACTGTATGGCGTATGCCCGTCTTCATTAGCCCAGTTTAGGAGCAGAACAGTAGGACGTTAAACCCATTTCATTTGTTTTTTCAGTACTAAGCCTGGCGGCGCTACAGAATGGTGGACACAGATTGGTGGAAACAGATTGATGAATGCAGACATTTCAGTGGTGAAGGAGGTACATATAGAGTGGTAGATGCAAGCATTGCAGTGGCGGTGAAGGAGTTTCAAGAGATAAGTGATGGGTGCGATTATTAATGGTGAGTACATCATTTATGACTGTTCGGGTTTACTGACGACCCCTTTTCAGCAATACTAGTGCATCTTAAGAGACAAAACGCATTTTTCTTCATTTAAAGGATGAACTAATTTGTTAGCCGGCACCTTATTCTAGTCTCCCCAAATAAAATTGACCAGACTTTTTTTTTAACTTCGCTAAGGCTAGATATAGACGTTCGTTACTTCTAAGCATTAGATGAGTTTCAATCAAATTTGGCGTGAGCATGTTGCATCGGTTGTGCTTCTTTGTATCGTCAAATAATCGAAGCATGTTTGATTTCAACTCCAAAATCAGTTGATAGTAACATTATGTGATTTGTATGTATCATCCAAATTTGCTGAAACAAATTTGATCTTGTTATAAAAGCTATAGATATTTCATACTCCTAAAATGATTCTACCAATAGATTGGTTTATTGGTTTTAGGGGGTTGGATGGCTGAATGGTTAGCACGTGCGCGCTGTATCATAGTCTGTCATTGAGTCAACTGGCGGGGTTTCGATTCCCCGGTTGTACGTGACAAGGAGTAGGGTCGCCTGTCCAACCTCGTGGGTTTTCTCAGGGTCCTCTAGTTTCCTCCCACTGCTAAAGACCCCTATGCGCAAGCGAATAATGGAAATAAAGTTGAACCATATGTTAGTCCCGAAATGACCTAGTATGTGTCGAGTGGACGTTAAACCCCATTTCTCTCTCTCTTATTGGTTTTAACAAAAGTCTTGAAACAGTTATTAATCTTTACAGGTGTGTGAAGGATGGATAGAATTGGAGACAAGCAATTAAAAAGATCAAAGACTGTTCACGGATTTTCAGCATGGATATGTTAGATTGGCAATAACAGGTTAATTATAGTAATGAATCACGTTTCATCATTGGCTTTTATTGAAGGTTGGAGGGTTAAAAAAACGGGGGAACCAACTCAAATGTTATCAGACGGTTTTTATAACTGTTTTCAGAAGAACACAGGAACGGTCCTATCGGGGACTTATGTTCACTTTCCTGTGAAAAATATTGCTTGTACATAGAAAACATGACGTTCTTAGTATAACATTCAGCTGTGAGTTCAATTTTTGTGTCCGGCGAGTGCGTTTTTGTCAATTCGATCTGCATTTTGCGTTTTTCTTCATATCTACTCTCGAAAGCCCATAACTAATCTTTGGATATGGAACTCGGATACACGTCGTCATCTCTAGTTTATCTCTAAGCAGGGAGTTTTAGAGTTTGTTTTTTGTTGATAGTTCGTCAGGTGGTGTGGCATTGTTAGGTTTAATTGTGGTTTGATTTACTTCTTAGAGATTTCTAGAGATCACCATTTGCCTCTTGACTTAGAGGTTATTGGTGTTCGTTCCTGGAAGTCATTTCCCCGTTTGCCTCTTTCCAGAGACAAACAGTTCTCATTATAGCCGCCAATAGTTTCACGTTCCGTGTTTTGTCCGGCGTGTGCGTTTTTCGTTTGGTTATGTTGGCCAGTGGGGCGAGTGTGTTTGCGTTTTTCTTCATATCTATTCTCGTCAGTCTATACCTAATCTTTGAATATGGATCCCGGATACACTTTCTCATCTCTAGTTGATCTCTAAGCAGGGAGTTGGTCTGTTAGGATTGTGGTTTGTTTTACTTTTTAGAGATTTCTAGAGACAATTCGTTCTCGGTATAGCCGTTAGTTTTCTTTCGCTTGTCCACCGAGTGTGTTTTTCTTTTGAACGTCGATTGCGTTTTTCTATATCTATTGTCATCTTTGGATATGGACCTCGGACACACCTTGTCTCTAGTTGATCTCTATGAAGGGAGTTTTATAATTTGCTTATCACTGGTTGTTTTCAGTTTGGGAAAACCTATCCGTTAAGGGGTGAGGCATCATTGATTTGTTGGAATTTTCAGTGTTTTGATTTACTACTCAGAGATTTCTAGAGATTTCGCCATTTGCCACGTCTTAGTGGCTATTGGCGTTTGTGTTGCGTTTGCGTTTTACTCCCACCTCTCCTCTTTTCTCTAGGGGTGAGTTGTAGAATTTGCGGGATTTATTTTGGTGGTTCTGTCCGGGTTAGAGATCAACAACTGTCATAGCCCATCTACCAAGCTAAATAAATTAATCAAGCAGAAGGATTCAGGCCACTGGTGGTCTACGCTGGCACACATCAAATATTTGGGACCATTTCTTCGTGGATTTAAGCCAACACCTTCTCTAAAAGCCAATGTATCTAAATCAAGTCACTTATAAATTAAATAATTCGTTATTGGATGATCAATAACCACTTCTATTAATAAACCTGTTATTGCTGAGGTATCATTTTTCCTTATGAAAAATTTAGAAACATTTAGGGTTAAGCTAACATTTTGTCCATTATTAGCTTAAATAATTTTAAATTAAATGAATGTTTAGTTGTATTTTAATGTATTGTGGTCAAAATTGAGAAAACACTTCTGTTTGATCGTAACAAGTTGGAAAATCCTACCTCCCCCGTATTAATAGTGAGTTAATTTTGGGTAGCCGGCTCTAAATACTGACCACTATGTCACCCGATCAAATATTAATACTACCTAGAAAGGGACAAGAACGAAATAAATCGGTCTATAAGTAGGTAAACTGCAACCCGTTTTTACTGTTAGATAAATTTATGACCTTCTAGGCGGATATAAACGGGTGTATATGTACATTTTTGTTTCAATATTTTCGATATAAATATCCACGTTTATATTATTGTCAGCAGTCTTGGGTAACTACGCTCTAAGGGCGTATAATCGGGTCGAAATTCAAAATTATGTACTTTGATTATGCCGATGTTATATGGGACCGGTGCACTGACTACTTATGTAATAATCTCGAATACCTTCAACTTGACGCACTACGCACTATCTGCGGGGCAGTTAAGGGTACTAGCCATGCTTCACTCTACGAAGAAACTGGGTTTATTCCACTCAAAGAAATACGAAATCGACATAAATTAAAACTAATTTACAAAATCATCAATAACCTGACCCCTCCTTATCTTTAAAATCTCATAAACCTTGAATCTACAAACAAATATTTCCTTCGAAATAAAGACAAATTAAATGACATTCGATGTCGTACTAAAAGTTTTGCTAAATCATTTATCACATCCAATATAAGAGAGTGGAATAAACTCAGTACCCCTGCAAGGAATTCTAGAACTCTGATGAAAATGTTCTCCGATCATCTATCCAAATCTGATATCAAAGTTCCTTCATTTTATTATAACAGTCAGCGAAAGCCTCAAATAACTCATTGTAAATTACGACTTCGATGCTCTGACCTGCATGGTCACAAATTCCTAAGACATGTTGCCGACAGTCCCGCATGCCTCTGCGGTCATATATTTGAAGATCCCGATCGTTACATTCTGCGATGTTCCTTACATTCAAAAGTACGAACAGAAACCATAGGCAAATTACAACATGATTTTAAAAATATAAACGGTCTTTTATTCGGTTCCACAATCTACAGTCTTGATGTTAACAATAATATTTTTAATCAGGTCCACAAGTTTATAGATATGTCAAACAGATTTTAATCTTGATCAAATAATACTTTATCGTCTATTGTATGTATAATTTTGGCTTGCCTCTCTAATGTTGCCTATTATTAGAAAGATCTTACTATGCTTGTATATGTATAATTATTGACTACTATATATACTGTACATTTCACCCAGTTTATATTTATACTCTTCAAAAAAGTAGGGATTATTGAAATGCAAATACCTATGCAGGTTGCGATATGATAAATAGTCATGGACATTTGACAAGCTTTGAGAGTATGTTCACAGATGAAGAACTTATCGCCCCAACAGAACCACTGAGCTGCACATGCGACACGCAAACGCGCCATAGACGTGGGAGTGGTTCATTGTCAAATTTGACACTTCAAGGAAGGGTTGATGAAAACTGCCGCGTGCTGGTTTATATATCCATGTTTGCTTTCCTATTGGTTCTTGCATAAGATTTGCTGTTTATCGTATCTTTGCTTTAGTGTGTTACGTTTAATTTGTTCGGGAGACGTGTTCGTCAACGTCAACCGACAATACTGCAAGAATTGGCCGTGGCACTGCAAGAGGAGTGGGTCAGATTGCCCAAAATCGTGATTGGACGGTTGATAAGGAGCATGCCACGACGAATTGCTGAATGTCTGAGGATTGGTGGAGCAATTACTCATTATTAAGACAAAAATCAAAAACGTCCATTTTCACTTTTGACGGTGTATCTCTTTGCGAGTGAAATGGGGCCGTCAGATAAGCCGCCCATACGAACTGTTCATATGTAGGCAATTGGTCTGTTATTAACATACACTGGTTACCTCTATTAAAAACAGCAGTGCATTTCCGCAGTTTTGTATTGTTTCTGAATGTCTTCTACTTTTTTTAAGAGTATAAATAATATGTATGTGCTTGCCATTTTAACTATGTATACACACCCTTTTTGCATTAATGATATATATATATTTACAGATTATTTAGCGAGAGGGGTTTTACATAGGCTAGGCCTGTTCCCCAATTCCATTCAGACAACCTGAATAAAAATATTGTTTTAAAAAAAAAGAAAATTCAACATTTTCCATTTCCTAGATAAGGGTCCTAAAACTTTAAGAGATTCTAAATCAGATGAGATGTTACCTTTCTATATTTCAAATAAAATTAGACTAATTATTATGCATTTTGGAAACATTATTTAGTTTTTTATGCGCCCAATGGGATCATATAACAATTATTTCCAAATTTCGACACCAGTATGATTTTGTGGTGAGGGGGAAATGTTGTTTTGATTTATATTTGTATTTCCCTGTCTTGGAGTATTATCACCAAAAAGTGGTTTCTTTTGTATTATATATAAACAAAAATCTTATGTTAAATTGGACAAATTAATTATTTAGTATTTTGATACGCCCATATTAAACATTATTTAGGGTTTTTTTATACACCCATATATCATGCCCGTCGGTCAGTTATGCTACAGTTTAAACTTCTAAATTTCCATTTTCGTAATCTTGGAACATAAACCTTTATGGGAATTTGAATGTCAAAATTATTTCGAAATTTTCGACATACCAACATGGTGTGATGGTTGGGTGGCTTAGATGAATCATGCCCGTCAATCTGTCATATTACAGGTCAAACTTCTAAATTATCTATTTTACTAATCTTGGAACTTAAACCTTTATATGAAGTTGAATGGCGTCAAAATTATATCGAAATTTTCGACATATCATGTGATGGTGTCTGTGGATGAGATGTTATTAGATTTTTGCGTGCAGCCGGCAGATTTTTAAACATTGTTTAACGTGAGCCAACTTTTACATCAGTTAAAATATATTATTTTGTTTCTTTATCAATTATATATGTAGTTAACATCGTTTACAAATAAAATATTTCACCATCGTTGTTTTTATACGCCCACATTTTCATGTTGACGTATTATGCCGTCGCCCCTGTTTGTCCGTCCGTCCGCCCGTCCACTATTTGTTTGTGGACACTCTACAGGTCACAATTTTTATCCGATTTCAACGAAACTTGAAATATAGGTTTATCTCCCTAAGATCTCGGTTCCGTTCGATATTGGCATGTATCGGACCGTAACTTCATGGATTATGGCCCCGTCTTGTACGAAAAATCGCGTTTTTAGCTTGTAAACCCTATAGAGGTCACAATTTTTATCCGGTTTTGTTAAAACTTGAGATGTAAGTTTATAACCCAAAGATCTCAGTTCCTTTCGATATTCGCGCATATCGGACCGTAACTTCCTGAATTATGATCCCTGATTGTACGAAAAATCGCGTTTTTAGCTTTTGGACCCTATTGAGGTCATAATTTTTATCCGATTTCAAATTGTTTAATCTCTCGGTTGGTCTAATCCATGTAAACCACCGGGAAATTGTGCCCGTCCACTCTCCAGCGAAAAATAAATGCCAAGTTCTTTAACGTGCACATCAACATATACACGGAACCTCGTTTTTGTGTCCCATCCACGCGACTAAAATCCCTTGGACAGTACCGGTATCTAGCCCCTGAACTTTGGATTACAGAGCCAGCGCATTAGGAATGAGTCACCGTGGCTCCCGATTTACATATGATATAATATCATTGTTCCTCTGCTACTCAATTAACAGCATAATTTCAGTGTTTCTTGTAGCTAAAACATCCGCGGTGTGTTGGGCGAGAAACTTTATCGCGATTTTCCGGCGTGGTTCCCCCTAAACTGGGCTAATGAAGACGGGCATACGCCATACAGTGTGCTATGAGGGAATTTTTTCCCTGGCAGCGGCGCTACGGCCTACTCTTATATCGATTTCCAACTGCCAAGGGATCTTTTACTTGCATGCCAATGTGTACACGGCACCTCGATTTTTCGTCCCATCCGAACAACTAGACAGCTGTCCAATGTCAAGCCTTCAGTCCTGCATCACTGACAAGGGGAAACCACGCCCGAAAATCTGGATGAACTTTCTCGGCCAATGCAGGGATCGAACACCCGACCTCCAGGCTAGCGAGCCAGCGTCTTACCCACTTAGCCACCGTGATCCCCGCCTGGCAAGAGACAACGTAATATAGTCGTTCGGATGTCACGAAACACGGAGACACCGTGTACACGTTGGTGCCCCCCGTAAAAGATCCATTCGCAGTTGAAATTCAATGTAAAAATAGGCCGTAGCTCCGCTGTCCGCGCAAATTTCTTCTCATAGCACACTGTATGGCGTATGTCCGTCTTCATTAGCCCAGTCGGAGCAGAACAGTAGGACGTTAAACCCCATTTCATATCATAAAAAATGTCGAATGTGACGAACCTGCCTGAATGCAGACTGAATGGACCATGGAAAATAGGAATTGTCGATCAAAAATCGTTGGACACAATTTATGTCTGTTTTGTCAAAATTTCGAACAATCATAACTTCGCTCATAAATTTTTGATTTTTTTTTATAAACAATATTCTATTTAATTTGAAAATACAGAACATATTAATTAAGACTAAAACAAAAACTAAAAATTTGAAAAATTCTACATATATACAGTTGCAGTTCCGTTAATTAATATTATATTGTTATTGTACTTATACATATTTTATGATACACAAGAACCACTCTGAATTAACGTGGTATTGGGTATATATAATAGAATAGATAACTGACGGGTTGATTTGAACTTTAATTTCCGATTTTTAGAAACGTTTTCACAAGTTTAAAAAGTTACAGTGTTAAAAACATGTTGATGTTGATCAACTGAGAAGGCAGTGTGACCATTTAATAAAATACCGATATCTTGAAATTGCTGCTCCAGAACAATTTGGCTTTTCTAGGAATTTGGTATTTCCTCTTTTAATTTTCCTAATTGGAGGATTCATGTAAGGTTTGTTCTTTAGTCGTTTTGTTACTAATTTGTTTGTAATATTGTTCTTGGCTAACTTGATTAACCCAATTGTGAAATCAACACACGCTATAGTTATATTATTTTTATCATTTATAATGGGATGAATTAAATGCTGGTCTACTAAAATCGGACAATGGTCGCTACAAATATTATGAGGGAAATGTTGCCCGGACAGCGGCGCAACGGCCTACTCTTATATCGAATTCCAACTGCCAAGGGATCTTTTACGTACATGCCAATGTGTACACGGGGGTCTCGTTTTTTTGTCCCATCCGAACGACTATACATTGTCCCTTGCTAGCCCCTCTGTCCTGGAAAATCCCGATGAACTTTCTCGGCGTAGGAATCTATCACGGAACCTCTAGGCTAGAGTGAGTCATCGTCTTACTTACTGAGCCACCGTGGCTCCCGAGAACGATACGGAAATAATTTTAATCAGCTGTCTTTTAGTAGTAGGGTACAATGACGTGAAAATATTTGAAATAAGGGTGTTTTTACACCTAGCTTTTAATAGTGTAGTATAGTATGAAAATAATTTAGTATTCCTTCTATCATCATTGTTCAAGCCTTGCCTGTAATCAATAGACTGACAACCTTACAAAGACAAACTGTGAACTTCCCTGTCATTTATTTTCTGTCTAATCAAAGATAAATTCTTCTTCTTAATTTAAAGAGAAGCCATGAATAAATGAAAGGAGTTGTCTAATAGGAGTGGGTAGATTCAATAAGGAAGACCGTCTTCTAAAATACAGGAGTTTTTATCTTGAACAATATATCATAGTAAAAGGCAGACTTAAAGGACATATGCAGTAAAAAGTAATCTTTTCAAAAATATTGGTCGAGAAATTATTAAAATTAATCAATTCTAACGTCAAAAGTTACCATTTCCTTCTATTTATTTCATAACGCCATCTTCTGTTTTAGAACGTCAGCCAGCACATGAAGAATAGCGCTTTTCAATCCATGAACAATCCATGTTGTTTATGACGTTTATGGTGTCATCTAACCCTGGTTTCTGATTTAAATTGTCTAAATTATTATTTAAATAAAAACATGATTGTTAGCATTCTGGCACATTGAGACTTTTATTCCAATCAAGTGAGAGCGCTCGTCAGATAAGCCGCCATGTGCCTTCTCTTTGTATTACTTTCTGTAAAAGTAATCGACCTAGGGTGATTCACTTTAGAGTACACTCTATATTTCTTTTCTCTTGTCCGTTTAATGGCTGCAACGAAAATGCTTGTATTTGAAGACCTAAAGATATATTATGTAAGATTTAGCCATTCTTGTTATAATAGTTCAAAAATAAATAATGCAAAATGAATTACTTTATTCTGAGCGAAGATATTAGCTTTTGAAGTTTCGACAAGATGTGTACACTGATTGTAACCACCGTACTGGATGTTCGAGTCTTAGACTCGCTTTACCAGTCTTAAATTAAATCTGCTTAAAATGGGACCTAGTTTATATAACATTTAAGGCATAAACAAAGACCTGCAATATGAAGATTTAGCTCTTGCGTAATTCCTGTTTAACTTTAATGTCAAAACTAGGTTATCCAGTGTTTCAATGAGCAACTCGCCAGACCTTAAAACATACATGTAGAAACATTATATTACGTAACTATTAAAAAATAAAATAATTAAAATTAGACCATTATGTATCGCTTCGTTTTAATGTATTTCTGATTTTCTATTCAAATACAACTGAACACTAAACGAGAAACTAATTTGGCATATTTGTTGTCATCCGGATAACATCTTGAATTTTATCGCGACATGGAACGGTTCCGAGAACGAAAGCTTATCACAGCTATGCTATACTTTACTTGGCAGATAATGACGGATATGCCATGGACCTTTTTAATAGAAAGTTCCGTGAGCATACAAGTTCGATCTTTTAGCACACACTTAGACACGCCATGTCTTAATGCCATCTATATGTTTAGAACTCTCGCCAAATCAGGCCTTGATAT